CTGGAGCTAGTTATTACTACTTTTTTTTTTTTTTTTTTTTCTGCAGTGACCTTCTGTCACTCAGCATGCCAGGTCTCCATCCCAAATCTGTTGCCATGGAGATTTGGACCAGCATTCCTGAGGGACAGTGTGCCTTTCTCAGCCATCCCAGTGACAAGTCCTGAGCAAACCTGGAGCCTGGTCCACAGCAAGGTCTGCCTGCCACACAAAGCCTGCTGGCACCACCATGGAAACACATGGTGAGTGTAATGCAGGGAGACAAACCCTGAATTCTTAAAAAACCCAGGGTTTTTTTAAGATTTCCTCACAAATCTGCAAGCTAATCACACATGGTTCACCCTCTGTCTGGCTGCACTGCTGCAGCATTGTTATGGTGAAATAATAAAGCAAGAAAGGCCGTGTTTATAACAGTAACATCTCTAGTGGGGGTCTAAAGAAGACAAAGTGGCAATACTTTGCCTTGATATTCATTGCCAAAGGACTGGAGATGAGTGATATCATAAAATAATGAGTCAGCTTAATAGAGTTAAATTTTCTTTCTTTTCAGTTTGAACAGTATGATAAATGATTGATATTCTTACATGTTATAAGGACACCAGAAAGACAAAGATTAGCTCACACAGGAAGAAAAGACAGTCTTAAATATCTCACCAGGATGAATAAATGAAAAACACTGAAAATAGGTAAGAGTAAGCCTGTTCTCAGTGGTTTGAAACATGGCAATATTTATGACCTCTATTCAGCAAATTTGCCTGTCTCAGGTAGCTTGTCAAATAAAAAATAAAATGTCTCTTTTTCAAAAATAGTAGGCTAGAGCTATGATGCTGGATCACCATTTCCAGTCTTCTGTTCCTGTGYTGAAGGTCTTGCTTGCTCCTTGCACTCCTCGAATCCACAGAGCTCATTATGTTTTCCTGTGATCCAGCCCCGAGGCGACAGAGAATATTGCTGCTTGCACCTGCTAAAGCAGAAGTGAACTGGAGCAGGGGAGTTTCCCAGAAGCTTTGTTTCTGTTTTTATGCATTTTGGATACCTGCTGTTACCCTTAGTTTGAACCCAATAAATGTGATGTTTGGCGAGGGGACAGATACAGATATCACACAAGAAAGGCCAAGGGCTCAGCCRTCTGACTGCATGATATGAGTCGGTGTTGGCCCTTGTGAAGTTATCATGACTCTTTGAGTACCAGAAGTGCCCCAGGGGTAGCTGGAAGCCCCCGAGCAAAGCCCCTGAGAGCCTGGAGAGTGGAAATGCTCTGCCTCAAGCTAGCTCATAGTCTGACTATTGATTACATAGGGTGGGAGAAGGAGATGTGCTCTTTGTTCAGGGTGGACAAGAAGGATTTTTCAAGGGACTTTCCGGGTGTGCTCGCCCTTCCCAGCAGTGACTACAGGCAGTTGGGTACCACTGCAGGCAGTGCCCAGGCAAGCACAGCCTGCCAGCACAGACAGGGCTCAGGCTGCACGGGAGAGAACACAGGAAAATCCTGCTGCCTGCTCTGGGCTGGGCCTGGCAGTGATGGCTGCTTTTGCTTTCTGCTCTCAGCTGCGAGGCCAGTGGTGCCTGCTGGGTGCAGGCAGAAGGAGGAGGTTCCTGCCGTGACTCCTGGGGTATTGACTGGGAGGAAGACTCCATGTTTGACACTTTGCGAGTCTAGTGATCCAAGGGACCTTGCCCTTGGAAAGGTGGAGAAGTGTAAGTTTGAATCAGGCTGGTGTGYGAGCTCAGCAGCCCCCAGGGCTGCCCAGAGGCACTGGTGCACTGTGRCCACTCCACTGCCTGCTGTCCTGCTGTCCCCAGTCTGTCTGCCTGTCAGTGTCCACTGGCAGCACACAGCCAGCCCTGTAGTGTCCAGCGGCTTTCAGACAGATCTGTTTGGGCTCTTGAGGGGTTTTATTTCTGTGGCTGCAGCCTGACTTGTGCCTTCCTCCTTCCCTGAGTGGCCGTGGTGCACAAGTGAACCTCACCATAGCTTGCTCTAGCTCACACTGAATTTGCATTCACCCATCTGCAGATTAAGGTGAGGTTGATTCTGAAGGCTGCTCTGACATCTGTGGCCTTACTGCTACTCTGGCTTTCTTTGAGATTGCTTGCAGTGTTCTTGAGTGAGTTCTGTCAGCGTGCATGAGGCCGGGGCTGGGCTGGGTGCTCGGCTCTCACCTCCCTCTTTGCCTCCTGCCTGGGGCGGTGGCAGCTCTCTCTTTCACTGCGTGACAAATGGCTGCTGGGATGAAGCTGCCTCCTGCCGGGGGCTACACACAGGCGCCAGAGAAAAYGAGAGCAAGAAAATGCTGAGGTTTCTCATAGAAATTGCTAATTAAACCTGCATCCTTTGAGGCATGGCTCCTGCCCGTATGCATGTGTTGAGCGCTGTGAGCTTTTGGAGAACAGCAGATCACAGCTGCTGACACAAAGACTCTTCCCGGCTGGTTTAAACATTGTGTAAATCTGCCCAGTTCAAGGGCTGCTTTGCATTGAAAGGTGAGGAGAGAAGCAGCCAGGTCTGTCACAGAGGCATTGTGCCAGGAGGAACCCTACCTGGAATGCAACACGGAAGGAAGGAAGGTGCGGAAGGNAAATAAATCCCACCCCAAACCAATGTTCATTTGGGATAAAATGGCATCACACAGCAGCAAGGCTAAATATTGATTCCACTTCCATATTCAGGACCCTATAACTTGAACTGCATTTTAATTTATAAAAATCAAGCAAAGAGAAAGGAAAAGTTCATGCTTAAATGCAGTTGTATGGCTGCAGGAGATGGCAAAAGTGATGAACTGAATCCTGCAAGTTACGTGAGGACACYGAATTTGCCACTGTAAGAGCTCTGCTAACTTTAGGAACAGAGTTGTTGCCATTAGCAACGGGCCAGTCATTTATAGAGGGAGAGATGTTTATCACTCAGGGCTGCTCTGAATTTTTAGTGCTTGGCTCAGTGGTAGGAGAAAAAAAAAAAAAAAAGGGGATGCTGGTGCATTTTTTTTGTGTGTTAGCTCTGGTTTTGTGCTGGTTGGGAATTGATGTGAGTTGTACAAAGTGCAGTTTGCAGGGAGCCACACCCCTGGGCTTGGTGTTGGATATATTTAATTTTCAGGGTTTTATTCCACAGCTCTTGGAGGGGGTTTGCTTTGATTCTGCACTGCCTTGCACAGGCTTTCACACTCTTCTCTCTGTAAAAGCTCAGAAAAGCCATTTCTTAATTCCTTACATACAGATATGAACATTTTTATCTGAATAATAGTATTGCATTTCCATCTTGATTGTACACACTCCTCTTTCTGCTTCTTTTGATACTCCTTCATGTACTATGATATTTGCTCCAGTTACCTCTTCTGCCAGTAGATCCTCTACTTCTTTCTCATATTTTTAGTATTTGAAGGATATTTT